ATCCAGCATCCCACTGAGCCACCAGGGCCCCTACAGAGAGAACAACATATGCAAGTGTCCTTGTTTTGAAGGAAACATGGAGTTGAAGGAAATGGAAGAAACAAGCCAGTGTGCCTGAAACAGAGGAGGAGTGTGAATAAATGAGACTAGACTGAAGTTACAACTCTAAAAATTCCATTAGGAAACAGAAGGAAAGATCTCTGGAGATCGACATCTTTGCTTGTCTATTTGTGGCTGGGCCAGCGATGGCCAGATTCTCAGTTCTCAGCACCAGCTGGAAACCGGGCACTGTCACATTGCAAGCTCAGCTCTGCCTCTGAGAGTAAAACCAGAATCAGCTCTCTGATTTGTAATTCACCCACCTCCCAGATTCCCTAACAACAGCATGTGAGATTTAAGTCTAGCTGGTGATTCTCTTGATGATGCAGCAAGCATAATTGAATACAGTTTACTTCTTTGCAACAAGAGTAAATGATTTCTTCATTGTTGAGAGTAAAAACCAATTTGTCAGTAAATGAAGCAGATATGATTTAAAAGAAGCAGGACACTGAGTAATGCAATGTATTGTGTCTTTTCTGTTCGTGATTGCATTCATTACAAAATAGCTCCCACAGAAGGCCATATTTCCCCTCTGAAGTTTACAGAACTACAAATGTGTTTGAGATTGTCAATACCTGCAGCCCTCTCTAGCTTACCCCCTCTTATTAGCAACTTAACTGACATACATTAAGTGTTTTTGCTGTACATTGTTGCTGTTTTTATGTTCCATAGAGTTAGACAAATGTATGGCTGTCCCTCCAGGGGGGTTTCAGAAGCTGTAGATCACGTAGGAGGAGATTGTCTATCTTCCTCCTCTGTGCCAGCTGGTGGACTTGAATTGTCTGCCTTTGGGGTCACAGCACTGTTAAATCATTTCAGACTCACACAATAGTGGGGGGAAACACCCAACAACAGCAAACCTCTGCTTGGTTTGCATCATCTTCACAATCACTGCAATGTTTAAGCCCGTGGTCACAGCCACTATGTGAGACCATCTTATTGAAGGTCGCTCTCTTTTTTCACTTATCCTCTAACTTTACCAGGCTAGCTGTCTGGTTTGGGATGGTGTATCTGCTGGTACAGTAAAAGACTCAAGTTAGAGCCCTCTCTTATGGTCGAGTTTCTACTGGTCAGAGAGGTGGCTGAAGGCATCACAGAAAGTTGAGAAAATGATGCTTGGCCATGGATAACACTTCTGCAAGCTTAGGGCACATTAAGGGGTGATATAGACTTTCTGCTAGCATCCAAGGTCCCTAGAGCAATGTGCCTAGCTATGGGAAATGTCTCTGCTATCCAAGAGATTGGGTGCAGGGAGGGCACCCAGTCAGACATAGCTCACTCTGCTGATGTAAGGAAGTAGAGCATGCAGAGTGATGAGCTATTGAAATCTAGCCCACTAGGTAGCAGTCTAGGTGGTAGGCTGTAGGTGGAGAGGAGTTTAGATAGCACAATACCCCAGCTTTAGTAAAAAGAATGAATGCACCTTCTCCATAAGGGTAATGTGTACCTTCTACAAGCAATGCACATCTGACGTTAAATCTAAGGGTCATTCTACCAGAGACAGTCACTGTCAGCTCCATATTGACCAAGGACAGTACATTTTGCTGGCCTCAAGATGCAGTGTTTATGCGGAGAATGCACTGCTCCAAATGTGGACACATGATGTGCTGGGTATGGAATCCACATGGTGCCTAGTGAGATATAATTTCTCCTAAATGATGATTTCCCCAGAGACCAGGACCCTGGTCAGACATGGTGCTTCTATAAATTGTGAGGCTGCCTGTATGGTAGACATCACCTTGCCCCACCCTCAGGCCCAGTACATTCCACTGACACTCAGAAATATAGAATGTGTGTCTGAATCTGGAGCTGTGTGGGATCTTGGCACTGGAGACACAATGGCACAAGCCTGACCTCAGACAAGACTGGGGTGAGCTCACATGAACATTATCCACAACTTGATAGGTGATTGAAGGGTAAAGTCTCTCTCCTAATCCTTGGTAATGTATGGGGAATACGGGAGAGACCATAGAGTTCTTGTTATCAGCCAGTCACTGGAGTAGACACTATTGTAGTCTTGGGCTCCTGAACCAAATGGAAAACTACTGTTTTTAGAATAGCACCCCTGTGTCAGGTCAATTCACGATTTACTGATCTGTCTTCTTACTCAATGCTTTCACTCAATTTCTTACTTCAGCTGCTGTTTGAATTGCTTGCTTATTTCCTTTGGAACTCAGGTTTCCAGGATTATCATCTGAGCCTGTTATCTTTATTTACTGGTGTATTACTTATAGAGAGTCTGGACTGTGGAAAAGTATGTGATTAGGGCTGTGTACTTTCACCATACTTATTCAATTTGTATGTTGAGAAAATAATCCAATAACATTTAAAGAAGAATGTGGTATCAGCATTGGAAGAAAGATGTCCTGTGATATGTAAATGGTACAACCTTACTCGTTGAAATTGTCTACAGTCTTCAGTCTGGGTTACATCTTAGTATAACTTACACACTCATTCATTGTTATCTAGTTGGAACTGGCTCGTAACTGATCCTCCAGCAGGTTTTCAGAGGCTGTAAATAAAATAGTACAGGAGGAGAGATTGCTCTTCTTTCTCAATTGGATCAGCTGGTGGATTTAAACCTCATGCCTTTGTGTTGTCAGGGCAATGCCTTATCCACTAGGCTGCAAGAGCTCCCTTTTCAGCACAAACAAATCCCCCCAAAATCCTCACAATTGAGGATAAATACTGCTTAGGGCTATTATTGTAAAAATAAAAGTTTAACATGTAATAAAAGTAAAACATGTGTGGGAACTCAATTCAGGGAAGGGCTGAGGTTGTGTAGAGGTGATACCACAGGGTTACACAGTTTGGTGGGTGGAGAGAGAGGGATAAGTAAACGGGAAGGATCCAGGTAAAAGGGGTAATGATGGGCAAGGTCCAACGGTGATTAATTTTATAAAACATAATGCATGAGAATGATTGTATGAAACACAATTTATATGAACTTTGTAAGCAAATGACTAAAAAAATTTAAAAAATTTCTCATGACTGGACTAATAACAAATGTCATGGTAAACAGAATATATTATGAAAAGTTCATATTTAAAGAGCAAAATAGGATGAATTTTGACATATGTGTATATCCATGAAACCAATTATCACAGTTCAAATAATGACTAAATCAGCCCTACAAGTTTCTTCTTGATCTTCTCTGCTTTGATCTGAGGCTCTACTCCAAACAATTCAAGTTTAGAATTACTCATTCTTTACTTAAAATTCTGATGAGCTTATTAGATCATTTTAATTAAACCAGTTGCTATCAAGTCAATTTTGATTCGTAGCCACTCATACTTAGGTTTTCAATGGCTGATACTTTAAAAAAAAAAAAAAAAAAAACACCAACACATCACTAAGGTGCCTCTCTATGGAATAGAATCTACAACCTTTTATTAGCAGCAGAGTTGTTGTTGTTGTGTTGTTAGGTGCCATTGAGTCTAGTATGACTCATGAAAACCCTGTGAACAAAAGATCTAAATCCTGTTCTATCCTGAACCATCCTCACACTTTCTGACATTCAAGAGCCCATTGCAGCAGTCGCCATGACAACCCACCTGGTTGAGGGTTTTCCTTTCCTTCCCTGACCCTCCACCTTTCCCAGCTTCATGTCCCTCTCCAAGGAATAGCACCTCCTAGCACCATGCCCAAAGTATATGAGACAAAGCCTCATCATCCTTGTCTCCAAACAGCACTCTGGCTGCATCCTCTCCAAGACACATTTGTTTGTTTTCTTGGCCATCCATGAGATGTTCACTGCTCTTCTCCAAAACCACAGCTCCAAATCGTCAATTCTTTTACTTTCATCCTCTGTATTCAGAAAGACTATGGCCTGAATCAGACACACCTTAGTCCTCAAACTGACATCATTGTTGTTGTTGTTAAGTGCAGTTGAGTAGTAGACAGCTCATAGTGACCCTATGAGTGAAAGACCTGAACACTTGTATAACTTTCATCGTTTCTCCACGTTCATAGAGTTTCTGGAAGCAAGCTGTTTCGGAAGTGGATGCCATGTCTGCTTCCAAACTTGTTCTAATTGGGGAGCTCCACCAAATACTGTCCGCCATGGGTAACCATTATCACATTTGACACATCAGTGTCACAGTGTTTAGCATCACAACAACCATGAGTTACCTCTGTACAGCAAATGGACAGACCAGTGCTATACCACTTAGAAGAATGTTTGATCAAAAGCAGTTAAAACCAGGCCTGAGGTCCACAGATTAAAATCACCCACCTTTAGCTTGGTAGCTAAATATTGTTGTCTGACATCATTACTCCTCAATAATTTTAAGAGGTCCTAATTGCAGATTTCCCCATTGTAATGCATCTCCTTTCCCCCCCCCCACTACTGCTACCAAAGGTGTTAATTGTGGATCCAAGTAAGATGAAGCTGTTGATAGTTTCAGTCTCTTCTCTACCTATCATCATGACTTTAGACAGCTGTTTTAAGCAGCAGAGTATGTTAACAATTTTCACCAGCTAGGAGCTGTCATCAGTTAGAATACAATTTCTAAAAGGCTCTTTGACCCAATTCACTGAACCTACCTATGTTCACATGGAAGTCTTTCACTAAAACAAATTGTATTTATGTCCTCAGGATTTAAATCTTTTGGGGAAAATTGAAAGAATTTTTATAAAAACAAACCAACACACGATTTGAGGGCGCTATTGGGAAGGAGTAGGAGAAAGATGAGCTTTCTCCTCTCACGCAATTTGTTGTTCTTGTTGTTATGTGCCATGCAACCCACAGTGACGGCAGCTCTGCTGAAAATGTGTAAGAGGGTCAACTGTTTCAGTTCAGACCCAACATTAATGAGAGAGATTGGGAAGGAACAGCCATAACTTCAGAGTTTGTAATTAAGTCCTTCACTAATGTTTATTGTCTTCCTTTCAGAACCCAGTTGTGATGAAGATGAGAGAGCAGTTTCTACGGGGGGAACTGCTGTTCAGAGCATTGAACTAGTCCTTCCGCCTCATGCAAATCATCATGGAAATACATTTGGTGGCCAAATTATGGCATGGATGGAGGAAGTAGCTACTATTTCTGCAAGGTTCTGAGCTTTGATTTTTTTTTTTCATGTGATCTGGGAATCAGTAAGAAAGATATTAGAAAAAGCCTAGATCTAGGCAAGTCAAGTATTGCCTAGTATTAGGCAAGTCAAGGAGATTAAGCAAGCACTGAGAAAAATGTGACCTTTTATTAAAATGACAAAATTGTAAATAAATGCATTTGTTTACTTTAGGAATGGTCTGTCCTTTTGTTAAAAGGTAAATGTTTCTGTCTTGATTAAGAAAAAATGTAAATGACTGTTTTAGTACTTTATTCTGAATCATAGATGCTGATATTACAACATTTTAACTCATTATAAAGACAGTATATGACAAATTAGATCTAAAATGGACACAGAACATAACCTTAATACTCAAAGCAGTCAATGTAGCTACAAATCTTTTTAAAAACAATTTATAATTAGGTCTTGGTTATGGACAAAGGATTAACTGAAGAGGACAAAGAAAACAGTACTTGGAAGAACATTTAGTAACTCTTTGATTTCAAGAACGTTATTTTATTGTTAATGGAATCACGTAGGTAATTGAGCAGCTATAGGGAACATTGAATAGTCTCAAAATGCTTTTGAACAAGATCTGCCCTTCTGGCAATTTTTCTACTATGGAAAATTATTAGGGTTTTATTTTCACAAAATTAAAAGAATTTCATTACTAATATGTCTATAGTTATAACTGTAGTTAGAAACCTGTATTTAGCCTTCCTTTGAAAGACGAACAAATAAGGGAGCTTGTTTTTAAAATGAGCTTGTCATTCTTAATGACAACAAAGCATTTGAACATGTTCCGTTGTAAAGACTTACAATGTATTAACTATAGCTGAGTCTGTTCACTTAATGTTGACAATTCTTCAGAGTAATTGAATGACTACAGTAGGAATTGAAAATGCAGAAAATTATGGAAGTAATTTTCTTAGATTAAATATTCTTTATAATGATTTCCAAGTCCCACACACAAAAATTGCAAAATGTGTATCTCATATTCTTTCAGGCTTTGTGCAGCAAGCAATCCAGGGAATTTGTATGGGGGGAAAATGAGTCTTTTGATATGTGGGCAAATTCAGTTAACTAAGAGAGTGTGGAATCAGTGTGAATGCCACCAGCTGACAGTTGGCATCACACGTGCCCCACTCCAACTCTGAATCCTGTCCCATTACTGTGCTTGCGACTCATTGTTGTTATGTGCTGTCGAGTAGGAACAGACTGACAGCTAACCCTCCAGAGGGTTTACAGCAGCTGTCTATCACATAGGAGGAAATTATCCATCTTTCTCCCCTGGAGAGCCTGGTGGTGGACTCAAACTGCCTGCCCTTGGATTGGCAGAGCAGTTTCTTACCACAAAGACACTAGACTCCCCTATGAATAACAGAGGAACACTGTTAGGTATGGCTCCTCAGGAGGCATAAACCCTACAAAACCATACCCACCATTTTCAAGTAGATTTTCACACATTGTAACGCAGTAGACAGGGAAGAATTTCCTCATAGCTTTTCTGAGGTTATAAATTTTTTTAATTATTATTAATTTCAATGAACATCTACAGAGATTTTGGAATTCCATCCATTCATTGTTGCACTTTTCTCCCCGGCCACGCCACCCCCACCCCCAACCCCAGTTTGCTCCTCTCCTTGAAAAGCGAAAGAAAAATCCCTCACTGGTACACAGTCCCTCCTGCACACCCCCAACCCCACCCCCACCGCAAGTATACTCCACTCTGCAACCTTCATTCTTTTAAACGATTCTCTCCCTCATCGGCTTCAATGCAGTAAACATAATTTATCCAGTTTTTCTCAGTCTTACCTCCAGCCCGATGTCAGCCTCATTCTACA